CCTCAACTTCTCACACCCTGGAAGAGAACAGGAAATGGCCAGGCCGGAGGCAGTGGAAATCCGGCCATTGTTAGAAGTGGGTACTGGCTCAGAGGGGCCAACAGACTCACTCTCGAAAAGGGCTAGGGACACTTTGGCAGTGAGGAGATCCAGAATGGGGAAGGACAGGGATATAAATGGCATCTGGCTTTGAGGGCCTCTCTGTGGTCTGGGCTGTCTTACTTGTCCAATCCAATTGCGTTAGGCATCACGCACAGGTACAGGACATTTGCAGTGTACAAATGATGTTTATTGAACACGTATAATAAGTACTTGAGGTGTATTATCTCTCATTCAATTCTCATTGCAACCTTATGAGGCAAGTATTATGATCATCCCTATTTTACAGGTAAGAATACAGGCTCAGAAAGGTTGAGTGACTTGCCCAAAGCTGGTCCTTCACCACTATGCTTTCAGAACAACCCTATGAGACACCAGGGCAGATCCTGACCACCATTTCCCAGATGAGGTCACTAAGGCACATAGAGGAAAATAACAACTTTTCCAAAGTCAGAGCACACAGTACCTTGCCCTCCTTAGTCAGGCCTGTGTGCCCGTTATTCTCTCAGCTCATCACCCCAAGTTCAGCCCCCCTCCAGGAAGCCACCCTTGACCACTCCAGCCCTTGGGAAGAGCTCCTAGAGCACCTAAACATCCTGGAAAGTTCCCGCAGGGTATCAGAACAGGATCCTCAAGTGGATTCCAGGACAGGCTCCTGCCTGAGCACCTGCCTGAATTTTGACACAAAGGAGCCTTCAGCAGAGCTGGACTCCCAGGGCAGCGTTCTAGCTACTTAAAAGCACCTAACAATTTTAGCATGTAATTATATTCTGTCGTGTATTGTTTCCTGTTGTGTTGTTAATTTCGTCTCCTCAGCCCAACTGGAAGCTGGAAGGCAAGAAGGGAGCCTGACTCTCCAGTGGGCCCCCAGGGTGCAGAAAGCTCAGAATAGCCTGGGAGATTGATTGATTGCTCTCAGCTCAGCCCTCCGCAGCTCCCAGGCTGCTCAAAGCAGGCCCCTTTCTCCCTTCTCCTGCCAGCAACCAAGCCAAGCACCCTTCACCACACACCCACACACAAAGGCAGGTGCTCACAACCTGCCAAAGGAATCTTCCTGACCTCTTTACCAGCTCTGGGCAGAAGAATGCCAACCAAGGACCCCAGGCAACATGGAAGTGGTACCAGCCATTGGCAAAACATGACACACGTCCCCTTCCTCACAATAACAAACAACTGAACAATTACCAAAGTTTATGCTAAATCATAACCACCTGCTAAAACGGAAAATGTTATCTCCATTCTGCAGATGAGGAAACCCAAATTTATCTGTCATTAAGCTATGTTACCAGTATATCCCATCTGCAAGGTACAGCAACAGGGCTTTGAATAAGTTCCTTATACTTCCTAGTCTTCTCTTCGGTAAAATGGATTACAGCATGAGGCTGTTGTACGATTTTAATGAGATCTCATACTTAGGAACACTATGCAGACACTCAGCATATGGATTTTTCTTTCCCTGCCTCCAGGGTCCCCAAAGGCTTTAATCTTTTGGGGGTCATCCTACCCCAACAGCTTGGCTTTAACTGTTAAAAGACACCACAATGGCTATCATTTGTCAGAAGAGAGAGCCCTCTCGGGAACCCAGGCCAAAGTCTGGGATGGGGGTAAAAATGAAGGTCACAGTAGATAGAAAAATGCATGAGGCAGAGGCAGGAGACAGAGCCTCCCATCAGGAAAAGCTTTGAGTATAGCCCTCTGGAAAGGAAGTTCATCTTATCTCAATTCTTAAACCTTACCCCAACTCATTCACCTAGGGACCCCTGGCCAAGCCCAGGCTCAGAAGAAAAGAGATGCCAAAAAAAAAAAGTATAGATCAGGGAAAATATCTGATTGAGGACTTGGGTTCGAATTCAGATTCTGCCAATGTGTGACCTTGGGCAACCTCTCTGGGCCTCAGTGTTCTTGACTGTAAAATGGGAAGATGCCAATAAAAGAGCCTCCACAGAGTGGACCTATGGGGGACACGGAGGGGGAGATGTCACATGAGGGAATAGATGTATAAGTACTTTGTAAAAGATAAATTGCATGACAAATGTATGAGATTATACCATCACAACAAGAGGTTGGAAGACAACTGTAGCTGGAGGATAATATTTCCAGGCACCCCCAACCCCCAAACACACCACACACACACACACACCAAACACACACACACACCACAACACATCCTTGCAAGGATAAGAAACCCAACCAGACCAGGCCTGAAAAACAGATAAGCAGACCCATCATGGAACACAGAGGCATGGGAATCAACACCCAGACCAGTCAGGAAAACGGACATGATCAAGAGAGAAGAGGGGCTGTGAGGGACAAAAGTGAACATGGAAGACCAGAAGGTGTAAACCCATCCTGATTAGCTCAAGCACCCCTAGGACTTGACCCCTGGTGACATCAGAGACCCTGTCACCTGAGGTCTCCCATCAACCAACACAATAAAAGCGGAAGAGGAAGGGAAGAGGTTGGCAACAGAAAGGCAAGGCTAGCCGAGAGGCTTGACCACTGGCCCAGCTGGGCTTCCCCATCCTGAGAGGTGCCTACCCAGGTCCAGCTTCTCAGAAAGGAGTACCCTTTCTTCTCAGTGCTAGACTACAGGGACCCGCGCCCTGCACACCCGTGTCTCACCTGGTGGGGTCACTATGGTGCAGCCCAGCGGCCTCGCATTCCCGCCTGGGTCCCTCGCAGACGAGAGCTCTGCCAAGAGCAAGGGAGAGCGGGCAAGGAGCACCTTCTCGCCCTTGCACCTCCTTCCTCGGCTTTCGCCTTTTTCTTTTTTTTCTTTTTTTTTTTGTTGCCTAGGGGCGGGCCGGGAAGCCTCCCCTGGAGGGGGGGGTAACAACCCGATCTGACCTCGCGGTCCAGGTCCTCCCATCTCCTCCCGAGGGCGAACAGTTTTTTTGGCGAATTCCCGGATTGCTCGATAGTGGGGTCTGAACCCCGTATATCGTGAACGAGAAACTGAACCCGATACGCTTTGACTGCCTGGGGAATGAACCCCGGATACGGTGCACGCAGGGGCCTGAACCCCAGAGATTTGAAATCCTATGAAACAGAGAACCCAGGTTTAGAGAGGCCTGGGACCCGGTCGCCCGCATACTCTGGAATATGAGGGCTGATACCTGGGTATCTGAGAAGGCAACGGGGCAAAGCCGGATAATTTGCGAGCTCTCAGGGGCCTGAGCCCCAGGTTTTTCGGCCACCGACAGGGGGGCCCACCCGCGAGGACGTCCGGCAACACAGCCCCTCTTCAC